CAGGCAGGTGCTTAGTTTTGGTGGGGCTGATGGTAAGGTCCCCACCTCTTAGTGGTTAGCTCAAGGTTCAGCAGCAGCGCCTCCAACTCCTTCTCTGAGTGAGCAGCAATAACCAGATCATCGGCATACATAACGTGGTTGAGCAAGAGAGCCATCCTTTGACTGCACCGGGACATCGATCAGCCTCCCATTGTATCTGTACGTATCTGTACGTATCTGTACCAGATGGAAATTCCTCCGGTACAGCCATCGAATGAATCACAAACTACGTGGTCGAAATAGATGTTAAATAATGTGGGAGCCAGAAGACATCTCTGTCGCACTCCAAGGTGAACAGGGAATGGCTCCTACTCCCGGCCACGTAGTTTTACCCGGGCCTGCTAACCATCATGATCGTGAGCAGAGGGTCAGGGACTCTGAAAGCACAAAGAATAACCCAGAGCCCAGGCCTACTGATGGTATCATAGGCCTTGACCAGGTCAATAAATCAGAGGTTTAGGTTTTGTTTGAATTCCCTACACCTCTGCTGAAGCAAACGGACAGAAAATATGGCATCTGTGCAGGACCGCCCTTTCCTGAAACCGCATTGGGGCTCCGCAAGCCTCTCCTCAGCGTGCCTGGCAAGGCGATGTTGAATAATCCTTGCCAGGACCTTTCCCTGCATACTGAGGAGTGAGATGCCCCTGTAGTTGTTACAGTCTGTGCGGCCCCCCTTCTTAAAGAGGGGGATCACCAGGGCATCCTTCCAATCTTGCGGAACCCGTCCAGTGGTCCAGACTGTTGTTATGATGTCATGTAGGGCAGACTGTGCACAAACAACACCCTCCCTCAGCATTTCGCTTGGGAGGTCATCTCTGCCCGGTGCCTTTCCTGGTCTCAGACTCTGGATCGCCTTCAGTACTTCCTCAACAGATGGCACCTCAGTCAGCCACTCACAGGGGGTGACTTCTTCCAATATTTGAGACACCGCAGCCTCAAGCAGGGTCACCCCCACTTTGTCCCACGATGTTTTCCAGGCTGAGGGATTTTCCCTCCCCCAGGATCTCAGACACACAACACAACAACAGCATGCCCGGCTCTGCTGGCGAGACGCTGAACGTGAAAATCACTCGAGTGCTTTGCTTGTGTTGGCACCAACGCGGCTGACAGACCCGCGCACACCACACACAGTCACCGTCCCCAAAGCGACAGTGGGAACACCAAGAATTGATTTCGTTTGGGAGTGACGGAGGGTCGCGGAGGGCAGTTGATGACAGATCAGTGTTACGTGGGCCCCCCCAAAACCACGTCATGGGCCCCCCAAAACCACGTCATGGGCCCCCCCAAACCCACGACGTGGGCCCCCCAAACCCACGACGTGGGGCCCCCCAAACCCACAACGCACGGCCACGCGGGGTCGTCCCCCCCCCTTCATCAACACATTCTTAGCCACAGGCTCAGAGGCTCCAATTTGCCCCAAATGTCTCAAGAAAGGTGTCCCCAGAGCCAGATCAGGATGCCGACGATCCACGCCTCGAGCGAGCCACACTCGGGGGAGCCGAGCGAGCCACACTCGGGGGAGCCGAGGGAGCCACACTCTGGTGAGCCGACGCCTTTCCTTGGAAGCCACCGAGCAACTGCAAACAGCAATTGAGCCGAGCCGTGCGAGAGGGGCGAGCCAGGGGCGAGAGCTTGCGCCACGACCCCCACGACCTCACCCCGCCCTTGAGTGGCGTGGCCACGGAGGGCAGCAGCAGCAGCAGCAGCGCGAGGCGCCGTGTTTATGTTGAAGCGCGAACAGGTCGGGGTGGTTATTGGTGGTGCCGCGCCCTGCGTGAGCAGCCACATCCAGCCGCCAGCCGTTGTAGAGGTAGAGAGAGAGAGAGAGGTAGGAGAGAGAGAGGGGGAGAGGTAGGGGAGAGGAGCGGTAGGGGAGAGGTAGGGGAGAGGGAGAGAGAGGTAGGGGAGAGGTAGGGGAGGGGGAGAGCGGTAACCTCCACGTCAAAAGGTCCCACCCAGGTGCGGCGTTTTTGGATTTGCAGGGTGGGAGGAAAGGAACCCTCCTAGACGGTTCACAAACCGGGACGGGCGGACACTGCAGCACTCCGTGCCGTTCAGTGGCCGATCCCCCCCCCTTCTCACCCCCCCTTCTCACCCCCCCCAATTCCCACCCCCCACCCCACCCCCCCCTACGGCAGGAGGTACTGCTGCGCATTCAGTCGCAGTCCCTGCACGACTGCAAGTTCTAAACAACAACAACAACACCACCACCACAATCTCAAGATACCCATTTAGACTGGCACGAGGAATCCGATGAACTACAAAAGCTATTTTTGTTTTCACCGGATGCCCAGTTAGGGGGCTCGGGGTAAGAACGCTACTACAACAACAACAACACAATGCTAAACACACACTAGCAGTGTAAAGTACATGAAAAAGTAAACAAATCACCCAAACCAAACAAACGACAACTAAACCATCCGGCATCCGACCCAGGCAACCCCCACTCCGAGGTGCTGACCTCTTGTTCAGAAGCGCCCTGGCCATCGTCAATGAGAGCCGCTCAACACATTGACCCCATCATTTGGACATTTCTAGCGCCGCGATAATCGAAATAATCTTCTTGGTTCTTTCGGTAAAGTCACGTAGACGGAAAATAATAAAAATAAAACATAATAAAATAATACATTTCTCACGACGTTTCGGCCACAACGCGAGCAGCCGTCCTCAGGTGAAGAACAGGTCTGTCGGGAAGACAGCGCCTGGGGTGTTTCATTCAGACGCTGTCTTCCCGACAGACCTGTTCTTCACCTGAGGACGGCTGCTTGCGTTGTGGCCGAAACGTCGTGAGAATTATTTTATAATGTTTTATTTTTATTATTTTATTATTTCCATTCTACGTGACTTTACCGAAAGAACCAAGAAGATGAATCCCTGCAGTCACGAAAGCTTTAAATCGAAAAAAAATCTAAATAATCTCCGTGCCATGTTTCTCACAATGTCAGCATCGGTATTTAAAGAGTGGCAGCAGGAGGAGGAGGAATCCGATGAGCTGTAAAGCTCTTTCGCAGGACGTTCCAGTTTAGGGACACGGGTTAACAACAACACAGCACCAAAAGAAAAACCACGATAGCCATGTGACATAGGGGGTCGTCCATAAATGACGTCACGCGATTTGGGACGATTTTTGCCCCCCCCCCCCCTTCGTCACACGGCGCCACAAAAAGTCAGACCCCCCCCCCCCTCAAATATGACGTCACAAAGCTCTGCCCCCCCCCAAAAATAAAACATGCTTCAAATCGCTTTAAACTATTGTCATTGTAGTTCGTATTTAATGTGGCGCTGCACTCTGATGTTGTAGGAGGAAATATTTATCAAACAGTATATTTAATTAGGTAGAACGTGTTGTCTACATTTATTTAAAAGTTGCGCATTTTAATGTGACGTCACATTTCTCACCCCCCCCAGGTGTGTGACGTCATTTATGGACGGCCCCTAGAAGACGAGGCAAAAATCGAAATCGCCCGCGACAAACATTCAGACGACGAAGCCATCCAACCATCCCCGCACCACACAGAGGGGCAAACCCCAGCGCGAGACTTGTTCACTTTCTACATGTCGCAGGGGGCCTGGGGCCCACCGCTCACCACGAGCGAGAGAAGAACCTGCGGCTCCAAGGGCACTCACAACGCACCCCTCACTCCGCTGCCCCCCCCCCCCCCCCCCTGAACATCACCACACGTGCCCCCCCCCCTGAACATCACCACACGTGCCCCCCCCCCCCTCCTGAACCTCACCAGCCCACAAACACCACCAGCACCCCTGCCCGCACTCCACAAACACAACAATAAACTCACTTCAAGTGGAGCGAGCAAGACGAGGCGGCTGCTGCTAAACCTTCCGTCGTGGCCCACAGTCAGACGGGGCTCGGGACATCTTGGGAGATGTCGTTTGCGTCTTACTCGCTGGCCGCAAGACGCCGCTTTCATCGCTGTTGACCCCACGCGGTTTAGCCCGTATGCTTGTGCGGGGAAATTGAGTTATCAGGTTCACACGACGTACAGCTGTTTCAATGCGGGCAGCTACAATTGTGTCTCTCCCTTGTGATGGGACTTTGTGGGATGAACGTTGAGATTTACAAATGGCACGGGGTGATCGACAAGGTTGTCTGTCGTAAGCTCGGGGGGGGGGGGGGCACTGACAAAAGAAGGGGTTGACAGCGATGGTGCTCTTGGGGTCTTTTTGTTCGCTCCGGCCCTCCGTGCCAAGTATTTATTTTAGATCAAGACGGGGCCTTCAGCACCACCACCACCAACACTTCACACAGAGTAGGATAAAGCCACGCATGCCACGCGAATGGCGAGTGGGAACAACGTTCCATGCTCACCATCACCATCAGTACCCAATTGCAGCGTGGCAAGTAGGACACGCAGTGGATCACACGTGACTGCCTTGCCGCTGCTGCTGTTGTTGTTGTTGTTTGGCGGCGGCGGTGGTGGTGGTGGTACCGTCGGAGTGGCGATGAATATTCTAGCAGCAGGAGGCACGCCCCGACTCCCCCTCGCCACTAACAACCACCACCACCACCACAAAGATCCCCTCGCTCCGCGGAGCCGTAACAGGCTGCCGAGACGGGTGTGGACAAGTGCTGTTAGCAGCAGCAGCAGCACCGCTCGCCTTTGTCTCCCCGAAGTCAGCGATGTTTTAACGACAGCAGCAACACGCAGGATACGGCACTCATTTGAGGCCGAGTCGACCTAGGGGGAGGCGGGTCCCACAAACCGGTTCTTCAGACATTCGTCACCGCGACGGCCGCGTTCGCGTTGTCCGCGAGCGAGAATCTAACGAATCGGGGTCGCCGGATTCGCAGGAGCGCAGTGCGCCAACCGTTGCGCCACCGCTCCCCCCACACACAGAGACGGACGCGATTAATAGCCACCGCCATCCACCATCGCAGTCGTCATTAATTAAAGACGGGTCACGCAACGCAGAGGAGACAGAGAGAGAGAGCCCGGGGTTACCTTCAGCAGCAGCAGTAGCAGGAACAAGCCAGGCCCCGACGCTGTTGCTGTAACGAAACGGAGAAAGCCCTCCTCCCTCCACTCCCCTTCTCTCGTTCTCTGAAGGAGTAAAATGTGTGTGCGTACGATGTGTTCTGTCGTGCTGGACTGGGCTCTCTCTCCTCTCTCCCTCTGCCTCGTCTCTCCCGTCGCCAATTCGTGGTTGCCGTGTGGCTGGGCACGCGCCCGCGCGGATAGGATGGCCGGGGATAGGTTTACCTGCCCACAGCGCGGATTGGCTGCCTCCTTCAATTACCAAGCCACCCACCCCACCCACCAGCCCACCTCCATCTCTCTCCGCCCACCACCGCCACTCCACCCACCCGCCTACGTAACGCCAGCGAGCCAGGGAGGTTACGAGGCGAGTGAGGAATGCGGGTCTCCCAGTGTTAATCACACACACGCGGCATTCCAATGGCACACACACACAGTATCACAATTACTCACTGTAATCCAAAAACGCACATCAGTCCAATCGCACACAACAATCACATCACATACGTCATGCCGATGATACAGTTTTACAATTACTCAGTCATCCATTCACACACGGCGTTCCGATCACACACGGCATTCCAAACACACAGTGTTCCAAATACACACAGTAATAGTATCACACATACAGTAATAATATCACACATACAGTAATAGTATCCCACACACAGCATTCCAATCACACACACAGTAATGGTATCACACACACAGTAATAGTATCACACACACAGTAATAGTATCATCAACACAGCATTCCAAACACACACACAGTAATAGTATCACACACAGTAATAGTATCACACACACAGTAATAGAATCACCCACACAGCATTCCAAACACACACACACACAGTAATAGTATCACACACACACAGTAATAGTATCACACACACACAGTAATAGTATCACACACACAGTAATAGTATCACACACACAGCATTCCAATCAACCCCGGATAAATTCTACTCGTGCGACTGAGAATCACTCTGTCCCGTACAGACGAAATACGTTGCTGTATATGTGGAGTTTGCGTCTCTCTCTCTCATCATCACGAGATGGCTAGGAGATGTTAACTACCTCGCCTGGTAGGCAGGAGGTCGTGGGTTCGGTCCCGACCCTGACGCCTGCTGCTGTATATGTGGAGTTTGCGTCTCTCCCATCCCGTGGTCCCGTGGATTTTTCTCCGGGTCCTCCGGTTTTTCCCTCCACATTTAGAATCAACGTCACGCGTTGAGAGTCGATGTCTGCTCTACATTGCCACACGGTAACGATGATGACGACGAAAAGCCACCGCTTCGTTCAGCTGTCATTTGTGATGGCCAGGTCGCTTCTGAACAAGAGCTGCATAGCTCAGTGATGCCTCCTCGCCTGGTAAAACAAAATAAACACATTCCTCCTGCGGAGGGAGCTGGTAGGAACGGCGGCGTGGTGTATTCCGCAAATATGACCGATTATGAGGGCGGGCACAAGCCGGCGTGAGTAGGTTAAACGTTGAATTTTATAAGGGCACCACGGGGTGACCAGCCCCTCCCCTCCCCACCCAGCCCCTCCCCACCCAGCCCCTCCCCTCCTCACCCAACCCCACCCAGCCCCTCCCCACCCTCCCCACCCAGCCTCTCCCCACCCTCCCCACCCAGCCCCTCCCCACCCTCCCCACCCAGCCCCCTCCCCACCCTCCCCACCCAGCCCCTCCCTGCACGACGGACGGACACAACAATCCCCTGTGGGCTGGTGTAACCAGGAGGTTCCTACCAGTATTCGTTTGCTGTGTCGCCTTCCCGTGGCGAGCCATGTGGCACAGCTCCTCCTCGTCGCCCACTCACGGGGAGGGAGTCTCACAGCATCTTTGTGTGGTCCACCAACCCCCGCCCCCACGCAGTGCTGGGCTACAGGCGTGCGGCGCTACCCCCCCCCCCCCCCCCCCGCTTCGTTGGAACACAGTTCCTGAGCAACGGGCTCAGAGGCCCCAAAGACGCGAAGCAGCCAGCAACGAACAGCACTAAGTTCCAAAAGATACGAGTGTGATACAGTACTTATGTGTTTTATCAATCGAGCGGGTGGCGTGCGTCGCCCACACACTCCGTCGGAGACGAGGGTGGTAGCAGGAGCCACCGTCCTCCACTTTTATTGTTGTCCAGTTCACGCCACCACTCGGGACCCCGAGTGGGATGCCCGCACTTACGAACGCCCGCACTTACGAACGCCCTTACTTCACGAACGCCCGCACTTACGAACGCGCTCACTTACGAACGCCCGCACTGACGAACCAACTTCCATGGAAGATTTGTGTGTGTGTATTTTTACATCGACTTAAAACGCGAACTCTCGTTTGCAAATCGAACCGCCGCACTATTTTGTTCAGCTGAGCGATCCTCCGTGAGATGTAAATGAGTTGGCCTTGCGCTGGGAAGTGAGTGTTTGTGTGTGTGTGTGTATTTCAATAATACTGTGCTCCGACTTATGAACCGTTCGACTTACGAACGGGCTCGGAACTAATTGTGTTCGTAAGTCAAAGACTGTCCGTACCAGTTAAAGAGGCCAACTGAGATAGATAACCTTTATCGGGAGTGAGCTGGCTATCACAAATGACGGCTTAACGAAAGTGCCTTCTAATGTGAAATCTCAGGCAGCGGCAGCAGCAGCTCAATACTCTGAACGTGTGATGTTGATTCGAACTGTGGAGGGGAAAAACCGGAGGGAGGAACCGGAGAAAAATCCACGCGACCACGGGGAGAGAGAGAGAGAGACGCAAACTCCAAATATACAGCAGCTGGCGTCAGGGTCGCGATCAAACCCACGGACCTCTGCATACCAGGCGAGGGAGTTAACATCTCCTAGCCACCGTGATGATGATGAGAGAGAGACACACGCAAACTCCAAATAGTACAGCAGCTGGCGTCAGGGTCGCGATCAAACCCACGGACCTCCTGCATACCAGGCGAGGGAGTTAACATCTCCTAGCCACCCGTGATGATGATGAGAGAGAGAGACACACGCAAACTCCAAATATACAGCAGCTGGCGTCAGGGTCGCGATCAAACCCACGGACCTCCTGCATATCAGGCGAGGAGTAGTTAACATCTCCTAGCCAATTTGTTGGCACGGATAACCAAGAGGATGTATCCCCAGATCACGCGCCGCATGAATCACAGGGAACCAGGACCACAACTTTATTTCTCAGTCAGTGCCGTGCAATCATCCATCTGCCTGCGGTAACAAAAATCTTAAAGCAACACCCGGTACCAGATTTCGGTTACAAATCAATTCTTGGCACACCCAAAACACACACACACACATACCATGCCAAGGCCCGTATTGTATCGGGTCCAACCCGGACAGGTGGCAACCCGAGGGTGGGTGGGTGAATGAGTGGGTAAGCAAGAGTCTGAGTGGATGGGTGAGCGAATTATTGGTTTGAGTGAATGAATGGGTTAATGAGTGAGTGGATGGGAGGGTGAATGGTTGAGTGGTAGGGTGAATTAATGGGTGAATTAGTGAGGAGGTGGGTGGACGGGTGGGTGTCTGAATGTATCAGTGAGTGAATAAGTGAGTGGGTGAGTGAGGGATGAGTTGTGTTTGAGTGGATGAGTGAGTGAGTCGATGGGTGGATTCTTTGGGTGTTTGAATGAGTGAGTGGGTGAGTGAGTGGATGAGTGAGTGAGTCGATGGGTGTTTGAATGAGTGAGTGGATGAGTGGGTGTTTGAGTGGATGAGTGAGTGAGTCATGGGTGGATCTTTGGGTGTTTGAATGAGTGAGTGGGTGAGTGAGTGGATGAGTGGATGAGTGAGTGAGTCGATGGGTGTTTGAATGAGTGAGTGGATGAGTGGGTGTTTGAGTGGATGAGTGAGTGAGTCATGAGTGGATCTTTGGGTGTTTGAATGAGTGAGTGGGTGAGTGAGTGGATGAGTGGATGAGTGAGTGAGTCGATGGGTGTTTGAATGAGTGAGTGGATGAGTGGGTGTTTGAGTGGATGATGAGTGAGTCGATGGGTGGATCTTTGGGTGTTTGAATGAGTGAGTGGGTGAGTGAGTTGTATGAGTGGGTGTCGAGTGGATGTCAAGCGTGGGTGGGTGGGTGAGTGGGTAAGGCGATAGGGTCTGCCCACCTCCGTCACGGATTGCATCGGGACAGGTGGCAACCGCTCTGAGCCCAAGTAACCACGCATCCGAGGACGCTACGGGTTGGCCGGGGGCGACCTCGGCCAAGTGCCGTGGCGGGTCGCTCGCTCGGCTTAAATACCGAGCCGATTAGATCTTTTATTGCAGCACACGCACACACGCGCACACACACGCACACACGCGCACGCACACACACGGCGCACACACACACACACGCAGACACACGCAGACCACACACACGCGCACACACGCGCACACACACACGCAGACACACACACACGCAGACACACACGTAGACACACCCACACGCAGACACACACTCACGCAGACACACACGTAGACACACATGTTCCACACACGCAGACACACACACGTAGACACACACACACGTAGACACACCACGTAGACACACACTCACGTAGACACACACACACACGCGTAGACACACACGTAGACCACACTCACGCACGGTAGACACACACACGTAGACACACACACACGTAGACACACATGTTCACACACAACGTAGACACACACTCACGTAGACCACACACGTAGACACACACACACGTAGACACCACATGTTCACACACACGTATGACACACACACACACACGTAGACACAAGCAGACACACACACGTCACACACATGCAGACACACACCACACGGCAGACACACAACACACGTAGACACACACGTAGACACACACCCAGTAGACACACACACACGCAGACACACACCACACGCAGACACACACACTACGACACACACACGTACACACACACGTACACACACGTAGACACACGCGAGCGCTTATCTACTCCGCAGATTGATGAGCGTGCGTCACTGCGGTGGTGCACGAATTGGCGCTGCGAGTGAGTTTTAGTGCGAGGCGCGCGCCACCCGCGCGGGCCGCTGTCGCCCTTCCAAGACCCCCCCCCCCACCGGGCAAGCCTTGGACAAGCGGTGACCCCCACCCCCCACCGGACAAGCCTTGGACAAGCGGTGACCCCCACCCCCCCACCGGGCAAGCCTTGGACAAGCGGTGACCCCCACCC